CCGCGGCTTTGCTATTTTACCCGAGAATGATTGCGAATGTATCGATCTTAAATGTCAAATTGCCCCAAATAAAAACCCAAAAATTGACGTCATCCGCAGAAGGAGCTCATCAGATGAGTTGCGACTTTTCGAGGCTGACGAATGAAGGAATTTCTCATACTTTCTCTCGAACGCTGATTCTTCATTCGTGCCAGGTTTAGCAGAATGTATCGCTCGGCTGTGGGCTGCAACATTAGCTTGAGGAGACCCCGAAATCATCATGCGTTGTCCTGTGGATCGCTCCTTGCACCAAGTTCCATTTTCAGCATTAATGTGACGAAGAGTGGGAAGTATTTAATCAGAGACGGTTTACAGGGGAGAGTCGAAATACGGCGCATTGTTCCTTCTTTGACGACTCTGGAAAGCTCATGTCAAAAACAGTCCTGCAGACTATCACAGTCAGTACTGGTGCACTGATTGTGGGGATCCTAAGGTTTGGTCCAGGTGTTTTTACAAGGGATGTCTTTTGAGAAACTTCAAACCGTGTTGCCTTTGGGCAAGAAAAGAAGCAGAGAAATGATCAGGGTACGACTCCTGGTTTTTAAGGCCCTATTGGCTAGGAGAGGTCGAGACAACAAAGGCAAAGGGTGCAGGCGGTACTTCAAAGACTTCATTCCGCGAGGTAGAGTTGTCTGATACATATTGGCTGCTCATAGTCAACGCTCGAAAGAGGAGAAATTGCCCATATCGCCCTTTACACAGACACTACATTAATCCTATCCCACAAGTGAAGAAGAGTGAACCTATTTGTGGAGCAATGTCCGACCATTTCACACGTTCAAGCGTGCGGGCGGCAAACTGGTAGTACTTAGCATAATGTTGGTCATACAGTGGACAAGGACAGTATACAAAGCAGAGGGAGTTGTTGGAATCGCTCGGTAGCGGTTTTTAGGATCGCGGTGCACGCTCGGTGTGTGTGGTATGGCACTTATGGGCCCTAGGAAGACAAGAGCAAGCAGAGCTTGGCTGATAAGTACGCTTTCTAACGAGCAGCCTTGTTCGTGGAGAAAGTAGCCAGTGAATCCCATTGCACGAGGCCATTGGTGGAAGGTGGATGAGTGGAGCTTCACGATCCTAGTCCTAAGGTTTGCGAACTGGGGGGGGCACACTTTCAGTGCTGATATGGAGATAACGTGAAAACAAATTTAGATGGGTGAAGGGATTAATTTTAATAAAATTGAGTGGTGGGAAGAGTAAACGCGGTGGGGGTGTGGGGGGGGGGGGTGGGGGGGGGGGGGGGGGGGGGGGGGGGGGGGGGGGGGGGGGGTGTGGGGGGTGGAGGGGGCAGGGTAATGCTCGTCTCTTTTAGGGGTGTGTAAAATTAATGGTTTGTTGGTAGTCGACTTAGGGTGTTCAGGTACAGTGCACGCCAATACTTTTTGCCATAAGAAGGTATCGTGTATGGGTTGGCAACGCCTGAGAGTAATGAAATACAAACACACCATCATACTAGTGTTTGGTTGGTCAATAACCAAGGTGATGACTCGCATGCAGATTAAAAATCTGGGAAATATCCATAATATTAGGGAGATCACGATAAAAGCTATGAGCCACCGGCCACACAATAATGTTTCCTGCTTCGAGAGCATATAGGTGGTTATCAATGTTTGCAAATTTTTTCGGCTCAAGCCCTTCACATGGGAGTCCCCCCCGCTCCCCCCCCCCCCCCCCCCCCCCCACCACCACCAGACGGAAAAGAACTGGCGCCTAAGATATAATTTACTGTCTTTCGGCTCAGTATAGAAGATACGAACGCACCACAATATTTATCCAATCGTAACACCATTTTCATTTAATTGTGGCTTATCTGTTTCTTTTGTTGCTAGTGTTTTACGAAGAAAGACATGCGATTGATCAAATAAAGGACTTGATCCAGACGTAAAGCAAACAATGACCTGACAAATGTATTATAAGTACATAGTTTGTGTTATACGGTACAATATTTACTTAATTCAAGCTCAAGTGCATTGTGCATTGTGCATTGCATGTTGAATGCTGTATTTCTAAACGAGCCTTTTTGTTTTATGAGTGAGTCTGTACATGTATTTACAGTTTTTTGACGTCCTCTCACGACAAACGAGACGCGTCTCGCGAGACGGTGGTAACTTACTTAGTGCTCAGAATGCAAAGTTTAGTTTAATTTTGAGTTGAGAATGATCAGATTTGTTTGTTTTACAAAGTTCAATCAATTTCACAAGCATGCGAACTATGCTGTATCAATAGGCCAATTTCGATATATTAAAATTCTAACTTGGCTCCGAGGCTTAGGGGAATAAAACAAAAGAATTCGTAAAGAAATCACATCGAGGTTGAGGGATGAATGAATAATTTATTTTGTTTATTCCCCTAAGCCTCGGAACCAAGTTAGAATTTTAATATATCGAAATTGGCCTATTGCATTTTTGCGGCCGTCATCATCTTAGCTACGTCTCAGGAAATAGAGGCTCACTTCAACAGGGGTTCAAAATGTCATGCCTAAGGGTTGTAATATTATTGGTAGATTGCGATCCATTTTGGTTTTTCCCTTTTTTTAAGAGTCCAATGGTTGTCGTCGTCATTATGGAGTTTAAAATCCCACAACGATTAAGCTGAGGCAACGTTGATTAAAAAACTAGTTTATATTTTAATTTGAGTATCTCGGGATAATCCAGACCATTCAGTTTGTCTATTGGTGTCAGAGCTATCCTCAGCTGAATATGTAAAGGGACAAAGTGATTAGTTTCTAATGGAACTGTGGTGCTGCGTCGGCGGGCAAGTGAAACACTATGTTGATTATCAACTCAGAGTTGATAAAGGTAAATATACCGCCGTAGCGAATTTCTAAAAGCTGACGTTTCGAGCGTTAGCCCTTCGTCGGTGCAAAAGTGCTCCGACGAAGGGCTAACGCTCGAAACGTCAGCTTTTAGAAATTCGCTATGGCGGTATATTTACCTTTATCAACTCTGAGTTGATAATCAACATAGTGAATATGTAAAGACTGCGTTCAATTCCAAATTAATACAAACTTGACAAATTCGCCGTTGCATTTCTCGTTCTCCAGAAAACGCAGAATTCAAGCCATTTCATGTTGTTGTTTTACAGAGGATGGTTAAGAAATGTACCAAGATAAAAAACGCACGTGCAGATCAATTGTACTTCTCATTAAACCGTTTGGTTTAGCGACGTTCTCGTTGCCGTTGCCGTTGTGGTTTTCTTAAATTCCCAATTATGATTGGCGGCAGTGTAAAGTGCAATCGTTAGTTGGGTTTTGAACTTCAGAGTTCACATGTATTTTAAAATCTACTGATTGAAACAATAAATCAAGGTAAACTTACGGACTCGTCCTTCTTTCTCTAGTTTGGTGAGATGGTGATTAACATTATTCTCTGCTGCTTTATGAAGGTGCCATGGTGTATCTTATTATTATGAAATAATATATTATGAAATACATTTATTATAAGTTTTTTTCATAGTTAATGTTAAAAATTTAAATAATAGTAAAAATAAATATCTCAATAGACAGTAACAAGTTCAAAAGAGAATGAGATCTTCGCAGTTATATTTTAGCTTATTTAAGCAGTTGGAAAAAAGCCTGAAAAATTATAATATATAGGCCCCAACCGGATTCGAGCCATCATCACCATTTCGTCATTGGCTTCATAGCTCAGTGGTTTCTAGCGTTTATATCGAAATCGCAAAGGTCATGGGTTTGAATCCCATTGGATCCTAACTTTTTCCTCAGGATTTCTTTTCAACTGCTTTTAAAAGTTGAAATATAACTGTGAAGATCTCATTCTCTTTCGTTCTTTCCACCGCACCTCGTGAATATGAATATTTCATATATCCATCATCACCAGTAACACGTTCCTGACTGTATTACTTGCAGTCACATGAAATCAACGGTTTATTTGCCATTCGTTGAGACTAATGAAGGTTTTTTTTCCTGAAATGTCTATTATTTTGAACGACTATGAGTTTCTTTATTGAATACTTTACAAGTTAAACACCATGGATGTATTACAGTCAAACCTATATTAAGCGGTCACCCTCGGGAAATAGCCAACTGACCGCCTAGGTCAAGTTTAAAGTAAAGTATGGGGAGCGATTTCCGGAAATTTGATAAATGTTGACCGCTTAATAGAGGGTGACCGCTTAACAGAGGGCCGCTTGATAGAGGTTTGACTGTAATAATCTTCTGGTAGATCACATTTCAGACACAAATGAATACTGTAACAACTTTTAAATTAAAATACAAATTTAAAAATAAATGAATATTTAATGAGTGTTTTAGTTTATACTTGATAAGTTTTAGTTTATACTTGGCTCAATTTTATCATCGACAACAAACTAAAATTTTAAGATTAGGATCAGATTGAATAGATTTAGAGGAAAGTTTTTGAAGCCGTTTAAAAAACTCGCAGCAGTGTTATTTCAGGTATAAAGACACTCAGTTTTCCCTCGTGTCTTTATACATGTACCTGATAAAACACTGTCTGCTCAGTTTTTGAACTATACATAACCTAACTGTAAACAATAAATTGGCAACTGAAACTGCATTTTGCATTTTTTGTGTATTTAACAATATAAAGAAGCCAAAACCATGTATTATACTGTCATAAAACACGACGGGAATTTGAGAACACTCGAGAAATATAGAAAACACTCGCCTGCGGCTCGTGTTTTCCTAATTTCTCTCGTGTTCTCAATTCCCGTCGTGTTTTATGACAGTATAAATACATGGTTTTGGCTTCTTTATGTGCGTTAAAATATAGATTTAAGCCGCGCGAAACGATTAAAACACGCTTTTCTATGATTTATACTCTGATAAAACATGGTTTTTAACCAATCAGAGCGCGCGAAATTTTCAGTCTATATTTTAAATATAAATAATTTTATTATACTCTAACTATAGTAATAAAAAAATATAATTATTATCTACAACATAAACTTTCTTGACAATGTCCATGGCAGTTATTAAGTTTTCAGAGTTTTTTCCTAAGGTTTCAAGTATCTAAAATTAAAAAGTACATGATTTATATTGTAAAGCGTTATATATTATACTTTTGCTGCTGTAGTTATTGTAACATGATCATATGAATATCATGCTTATCATGGACTACACCTATTTCAATTAACGTGGTCGGATATAAATGTTTTTAAAAGCCCGCAAAGCCCGCAAGACAAGACCGAAAGGTAGCATGGTTAAAAGTAGAAAACTGCTGCACGCACCGAATAGATCGTTTTCACTCACGTGACCAAATCCTTGACTCCGGTTACTACGCCGCCATATTGGTGTACCAAATTTGTAAACAAAGCGACCGCGGCCTTTGAATGTGAGTCATATTTTTGTGTCTGATCGTGGGCTGTGGCAATAAAAGCGGACGAAATAATTATATAAAGGAGTGTACTTTGCAAGAGTGCCTTCGATTGTTATAACTAAATAGTCTAGGCGGATTGCAGAAAAATACGTGCAAATGATGATGCACAGTCGAAGAGGCACCACCACTTTGGCACCAACAATTGTGTCTCCAAGTGGTAACTTAATCAAATCTGCCTGATTGGCCAATTGAAAATCCTAAAGATGGCGGCCATTTTCCAAGATTGGCCAATTGGTGAAAATCCAAGATGGCGGCCATTTCCAAGATAGTCCTGCCTAGATTAGCCGCCGCGAAAAACCGTAATAAATCGGCACATTAAAGGGGTTAATCAAATTTTAAAGGTCATAAATGGATGCGATAGGATTTAAGATGCCTTTAATTTGATACCTAATTTATGGGTCTACGACCACAGGAAAAATACTTTAACCCATTGGGAACCATTTTGTCGACTTTTGTCACCATTATTGTACTATTTGCACTTTGGGTCTCAAAGGGTTTTAATAAAGCCACACCTGACGACATTTGAAGATAATTGTCAAGATGGCCACCAGATGCGCGACCTGTTTTTTCTGATTACGTATAGGCTTTACCCCCGGCTAGGAGTCAAATGATTCAAAGTTAATTTATACCATGCCACATGGTCCTACCCAAGCCTGCTACTGTTCAGCAGATTATGCAGCTGCAGAGTGCATGTTGCAGGGGAGCTCTTGACTGAAAGCATGTTGTGCATCTTCCTGTGCAAACCTTATCTTACGGAGGAACACTTCGTCAGTTCCGCGACAGCTCGCTGCATATAAGGGGGGTAGTGTTTGTCCAACATACTCTGCCATGCCCTGCTCCGTTTCTGTGTCCATCCCCATTCATGCGGGACTGGCTCGTGTCTGGAGTGGAGGATGGTTGCCTGGCCCGCAGATGATCCCAGCCTGATCAAGCCCGCACGCTTTGTGTCATGTTCTTCTGAGCGCTGCCTGTGTTGTGGGTGGAATTGAAGTTTGTACGGCCTCTGCTTGCGGGCAAAGACTGGATCTAGTCTTGCTTTCATCCACAACCAGTGGTTTGCGCTTGATACTGTCCGTACATGAGGGACAACGAATCTCTCGCAGCTTCTGACAGGTCAAGATCACGAGAATCAATGTGTGGATGCTGTGGGCGTGAGATTAGTGAAGTGTTTTCAGAAACGATCATATCGGAATACGTTGCCAAGTCTGCCGAGTGCAGATTTCTTCCCTTGCCCTACGGAAGGCAGACACGACATGTCACATCCAGTGAACGCATGAAAGTATGGGAATCGCCTCTAGGCTGTTCTCAAGCCCTATTGCAGAAACTACCTCGTATGGAGCTGGAATCCATCGCATCTTGGCTCCTTGGCCAAAGGCAATCCACATTTTCTCAAGACCTAGTTCCTGTAAGGATGGCAGTACAGATATTGCTATGACTAGCACGTCCGTGTCATTAGCCTTAATGATAATAGACTTGCTCCCATCAGTCGTTGCATCCCTGGCGTGCACAAATATTCGACTGTCAGCTTCTTCATGAGAACATGGGGACACAGCATCCAGCAACTTCCCTGTGTTGCTAATGGCTTCTTCTCCTTTTGTGACAATTACTGTGCTTGTCGTCTCTGCTTCACACATCTTTTCCGCAAGGAAGTGAAACAGCTCAGTCTTGTTGCTGGCGTCACGAAGGAAGCTTTGCCAGTTACCTGGTGTCTTACTCGTCCCTGTCACTCTTCTTCTGATTCCTTGCCCTCTTTTCGACCTTGTCTCTGATTTCAGACTTGACTTCTTGTACACATCAAAGACTACGTCCACCCGCTTGTACCTGGCACCATAGGATTCAACCTTTGGGATTATGTCTTCTTTAGCATAGTCATCAAATGTCTTTGAAGTACGTGGAGGTAAGGCATTGATAAGTGCTGAGCCATCAATGATGATTGCATCTCCATTTGGTTCTGTGTCTGGGATGTTCACTTGCGCTTCAAGAATTTCAACCAGCTGTGACTTCTGACACGTAATGAAGCTTGCCGCTATCACTGAGAGATGCAGGGTGCGACTGATTTTCGTGCTTGAAGAATTCTTGCAAGTTACACTGCCTGTTCTGGCACGAGATGAACAGTCGCGAGAATAACTGACAGTCGTCTTTCAGGACTTTCTCCTTAGAAATGTCCTTAGCCTGCCTCTTGTTTGAAGAAAGAAGCAAGGTTTTTCTTGATCGGATTATAAAAAGCACTTTCACCTTCATCCTCTAGCCCCTCCATGAATGATTGGAACTGCTCTTTGCCCCGTCGGTGATGTGTTGCTACATTTCAGCTCGAGTTGGGTCTGCAATGTTCTTCGTGTCTAGCACCAGCAGGTCGGCTGATTCTTCTTGGAATGGGTTGCCCATCTCCTGCATCACTGCAGAGAGTGATTTCACCTTTGCAAAGAAAGATTTCTGGGCACTCCTTGTCTGCTCGTGGTGTCTGCTGCTATATGTGGCATCTTTCATACCAGACATGGCCTCGTATCCAGCTACTAGACGACTAACTTCGGGTCCAGCGACCATCCACCTACGAAGTGCTGACGCGTATTCTGTTCAACCCCAATTTGCTCCTCCGTTCACCTTTGATCACTGCATTATTTTGCTCGTGTGCTTGGTCGCATCGCCAGGGCCAATGGGGAGTAGAGGTATTCTCTTCTTGACTTGTGGATGGCAAAGTTCCCCTTTGTGAAACCTCTGGCCACATCTGGATGTTGTTAGCTCACAGTGACATCATATCTCGGAGAGTGAATTGAGGATCCAACCGCGCATAGTTATTGACATTGTTATTTGCCAAAGAAGTAAGGCACCAGTTCTGAAAGTGCTTCACATGGTACAAGTTGAACGTCTCCTTCTCTGAAATCGAGCGGACCAATCAGGGTGAATATGGTGAGCTCCATTGTTCAGCACCAGGACTCCATAAACTGGTGAACACTGCGGACTCTCTTTCCTGCCGTTGTGTCACACACCAATCCTCAAAAGGTTATGTATCTGATATGCAAGACATCTTCAAGAGCCGCGTAATCACTGGTATGCCTTCTTCATCAGTTTGTACAAGCTCGCATGCAGTGATCTAGGTGTGCCAGTGTTTTTCACCCCTTTTTGGGGGGGTTTGTCTTGTCCTCGGTGACCACTGGATGCAGACAGGTAAGACTCTGCTGTACCAGATGAGGCCACCTCTGCTTCCACCCAATGGCACTGGTCCAGCCACTCTGTCACGTAGTAATGTTCCTATCGATCTCAGTGCAGCCCATTTCTATATGAAGCTTCCACCAAAAACATGATCAACAAAACACTTAGTCCTCTCCCATATTCGGGCCACTTCCATTGTA